TCCTCCCACAGTCCAAAGATGTGCAGGCTAGGTGGATTGGCCATGCTAAATTCCCCATAGTGTTCAGGGATGTTTAGGTTAGACATGGGGAATGGGTCTGGGTGGCATGCTCTTCAGAGGGGCAATGTGTACTTGTTGGGCCAAATGGCCTGTTTCCACACTGTAGTGATTCTATTCTATAAATCTTGATTCCCCAGAGAGACCAAAATTCTATCTCTCTAAATGTACAGAAAGTTGGAACATCCATGATGCCCTGTGTTGGAGATTTCAAATAATTTGCAAGCCTTTGACTGAAGAAATTTCTCCTCATCCCAGTGCTAAGTGAATGAAGTTCTGAGACTGTGTCGCAAGCATTCTATATTCCCGAGTCAGGAGTGGGAAATACCATGAAGTATGTTTTGGACATGGATCCATTGACATAATTTTCTGGTGGCCTGATCCAGCCCAACTATTTACACTGTGAGTTTAACCTGAAAGTGAACTAGGATGTTGGTGAGGCCTTTTCTGGAGTATTATGTAAGTTCTGGTTGCCCTGCTATACGAATGTTACTATTAAACTGTAGAGGGTTCAGAAAAGATTGACCAGGAGTTTACCGGGAATGAAGGGTTTGGGATATAAAAATAGACTGGAAAGACTGGGACTTGTTTCACTGGAGCTTTTTGAGGTTTATAAAATCATGAGGGGCATTGATAAGGTGAATGACAAGGGTCTTTTCCCTAGGGTGGGGGAGTTCAAAACTAGGAGCCATACTTTTAAGATGAGAGGAGAACGATTTATTAGGGACATGAGGGACAACATTTTTTACACAGAGAGTGGTTCATTTGTGGAATGACCTGCCAGAGGAAGTGATTGATGCAGGTACAGTTACAACATCTAAAAGACATTTGATTAAGTACACTAATAGGAAAGGTTTGGAGGGATATGGGCCAAATGCAGGCAAGTGGGACTAGTTTAGTTTGGGGACATGGTAAGTGTGGACTGGTTGAACCAAAGGGTCTGTTTCCATGCTGTATGATTCTATGATTCTATGATAACCCATCCACAACATTTAATCAGAATCTCCAACACATACTCAAGGATCACGCATGTCCCATTTAAAATAGTTCAATAAACAATCACAAAGCATTGGAGTGAAATAATGAGACAAAACCATGTCTTACATTCCCTTCCAATGAGGAAGCTTCTGGCCCACATAACATTGACATGATATCCATTCAATAAATCAACCTCTCAATATTTGTGGCTTTATTTTTAAAAAAAGGAGCCGCATGATTCCATTTCGAAATGTACATGAAATATGCTCTTTTTAACTTGTTAACTTTATCTGAAGAGATCTAAATTATCCATTTTAGATCACTTATAATGAATGCTTCCTTCTCTGTTTTAACTATTAATATTATTCTAATTTGATGTGTTGGAAGTAAGAGGGTTCATAATTCTTTCTCCTGAGCTAATTGCAAAAGTACATCTCTAAAGGCTAGCAGTGAACAAAATGAGTCACAGTCTCACACTGTTACTGATTCAATACATCAGGTCTAATCATCATGACATTACTGTGTTTGCCATGAACCCAGAATCAACATGTGACAAAATCCGTTTCATGATTATGAAATTATGAGATTATGAAGTCTACGGTCTCCATTAGCAAATGTACATGCCCCCAGCCTGACCTTTACCCATTCCTTTGTCTCTCTCCGGGCTCCATCTCTACCTATAATTTAGTCTTCCCCTTCCCTCCACCCTATCTGAAGGGTCACTGGAGCCGAAACATTAACTCTGCTTTCTTTTCACGGATGCTGCCAGACCTGCTGAGTTTTACCAGGAACTTCTGTTTTTCTTTCTTATTTCCAGGATCTGCTGTTCTTTGGTTTTTATTTCCTATTGTATGATGGCGCTTGTAGAAACAAGTTGATTTTCTAACTCCTTTATGATAACAATCGATTGTTAAGAATTCTCTTTGTATCAATTCAAATTTTTGTGTTTAAAAACCTAACAGAATAGAAAATAAAAGCAAAATACTGCAGACGCTGGAAGTCTGAAACAAGCAGAGAGAATGTGGAGAAACTCAGGTCTGGCAGCATCAGTGAATAGAGAAACTGAGTTAAGAGGAAGTACAGTAAAGTTGTGATCACTTCCAAAGAAAAGTTGTATTGGACTTGAAATAATAATGTTAATGGGTTCAAATGACCTCAAGTTTATTGAGTGTGGAATATGGCAGATTGGCCAAGTGTATGTTGGAAAAATCATGTCTGAAGGGAACAGAAGTACGAGGGAGAGTTTCAGATTCTTCTGAAAAGCTTTCAAGATGCTACCTTTAAAAAAGATCAGGGATGTTATCTCGGGTGCCTGTGAATTACCATCACAAAAGCACAGACTGGCCTGGATTTTCTGAGGGCCAGATCGTCATTATTGGGATTTGTGCTTGGGGACCCTGCGGACGCCACATCATAACAACTGGTGGTCTCTCGGCTTGACATGGTGGTCTCAGGGCCCAGTGTGGTGGACTCTTGGCCTGGCATGGCGGTCTTTCAGGCAACATGGAGTGGCGGTCTCTCGGCCCAGCGTGACCTTAGCATGAACTTCCGGCCACGAGATGATTTCAGAGCAATCTCCTGACCTTGAGACTCTCGAGGTGAAGACCAGCACAGTCCGAAGTCAAGGCCAGGAATGGACTAGAGACTAGGGGCCAGCGTGGACTGGGTTGGAAGGATTGTAATTCTGAACTTTGTTATTTCTGTATTTTCTAATTTATTCCAATGATCTGTAATGCTGGGCTTTTTATTTCTTTATTTTTCTTTTTTTCTGTAAGAACTTGTACTGAAGAATCTGCGCTAAAGTACCTTTGAACCTAAGAAGGCTCTGTAAAAGGCGACTTATAAACTTTTCACTGTATTCATTTGAATACATGTGACAATAAAGCTAATCCAGTTTAATTCAATAGACTCTGTAGGAATTGGACAGGAAAGGGAAGATCCCGCTAGGCAAGTCCCAAGGAATGTCAACATACCTGCTTTCTTTACCAGTGCAGCCCAATCTATTGCTGGCATTTTCTGTTTTCGTTTCAGTTCTATTGTTTTGATAAGTGGTGCTTAACATTTGAAACCTTCCAGCAGGAGACTTCACTCAGAGAGACTGAACGCTGGAGTTAGGATTACACTGTGCACAAGTACAATTCCTCACAATAAGGCTGGAATCTTCTGATCTTGGAACATTTTCAGGTATCACAGCAATTTCCAGGCCCCAATCACAATGGTGTCCAGGTTCCACCCAGGGTTGACCAGAGGTCATCAGCTTACGATCTGATAGAAGCTGGCAGGTAAATTCCCGAACCAAGCGCCAAATGCTGATGTAGATGGCTGGAAGCTCCTTTGGGAAAGGTTGCTGCTTCTGTAACATATGGGTGGGTCAGAGCAAGGTGCCTCAAGCTGGACATGCCACGTGAAGATGGATAGAAATTTTTAAACAAAGTGGGAAGACAACTGACATCAGAAGGAAAGCCCTGTGTGGCTCTGGGTGTGGGCCTTTGACCCTCTAAGATGTGGGTGGTTTAGAGGAGGTGTTATCAAGCTTCTGGATTGTGACTGAGAATCATAAAATGCTTGCGACGCAGATACAGCCTGTTCGGCCCATTGAGTCCTGCACCAATCTGCTGAAGAGCATCCCACCCAGACTCAACAACGTGTCCCCCCCACCACCCTATTCCTGTATTTAGCACAGCCAACCCAACTAACCTGCACATTGTTGGACTGTGGGAGGAAACCGGAGCACCCGGAGGAAACCCACGCAGACACGGGGAGAATGTGCAAATTCCACGCCTGAGGGTGGAGCCAAACCTGTGCCCCTGGCGCTGTGAGGTGGCATAGTGCTAACCACTGAGCTGCCATGTCACCCCATTCCACGTATTGGCTAGGCTTTGTCTTCAACAGTGAGTTGGAGGATGAGGATGGAAAATCCAGCTTTAGAAAACTCCTCACAACAGCAGCATTTCATCTACAACTATCTTGTGTGACCTTGATTAACTCTTCAGCCAGATCCACATGGGTAGACGCTGGCACTGTGTAGCCGCCTTTGCAAGGCTATTCAGAAATAGGTGTCCGTTGGAGGGCTGGCCGAACACATTAGGTTTTCTATGTTTCTAAAACCCAGCAGGCTTAATGTTATTCTTCAATGTGAACCTACCAGTCCCACAGAAGGAGAAATGTACAATCTTTAATTAAAGATAAGGACAAATACAGATGGAGTTCACTGGAGGCTAAGGCTTGGAATCTGCTCCCGACTCCAGCTTCGATTCCGAGTCAGTGGGCCTGGGGAAATTCCACATGTTTTATTTAAATTGGTTGGGTCTTTGGGTTTAGAAAGGCTGATCTCAGTGTTGGTTCTGGACGCATTTAAAGTGAGAAGATGTCAATTGGAGCAATAATCTAAACTTTGTTTGTGGTCTGCATTGGGACCAAGGTTATCAATCCAAGCATACTGAAACGTATGGGATGAATGAGAAATTCGATCAGTTGTTTGATTCTATTAACTGAAAATGTTACCATGAATCAAACCCAATCATGGTCTAAATTCTGTTGCATTTATTCAATTATACCCAGATCGTTTGTGCACAGAGCAAGGCAAAATATCTATTAACTTGTTGCTTAGAAGCTACTGCTTTCGGATGGTCTCAATCTATCATATTCATACAAAAACGCATCGACTTCCCATTACAGTAAACTCCCGTTATGTGTGAAGTGTAATAAATTGAGTAATTTGATCAAAACACAATGTTCCTCAAACAATATTCTTTGGTTCATGTCAAATCAAGGTGTGATTCTTGTTCATTTCGTGGGGACAACGTAAGGCTCACTGATGTCAGCATTTATAGGCTGGGTGCTCCTGAGCTGAACAGACGTCTTCTCTGCTCCAAAGAGGCAACTATTGCCCATTCTTCATGAAGCAGATGCAGCTCCCCAATTTCCATATTGGGTTAGGAACTTCACTCTTTTCGAGCACTCACCTGACAGTTTCTGCAGTGGCTTGAGGGCACTGACAAACCTTCCCCTGCGACTTTTCTCATTGTTACACCCGTGAAACAAGGAAGGCTCTTTTCTTTCCTCTTTCCTTTCTGGGTCCAGGAGTGGCAGGACCATCAGACCATAGGACTGTAAGATATGGGAGCAGAATTAGGCCGTTCAGCCCACCATTCGATCATGGCTGACATATTTCTCAACCCTATTCTCCTGCCTTCTCCCCGTAACCCTCGATCCCCTTATTAAACAAGAACAGATCCATTTCTGTCTTAAATACACGCTATGACTTCCCCTCTACAAACCTTTTGCAACAATGGGTTCCACAGATTCTCCACCCTCTGCCTGAAGAAATTCCTCCTCATCTTAGTTCTAAAAGGGTTGCCCTTTCACTTTGAAGCTGTGCCCTCAGGTCCTAGTCTCTCCTACAAGTGGAAACATCTCCTCCATGCCTATTCTATCCAGGCCTCTAAGTAATCTGGGACTCTCGTAGGAAAGCATTTCCCTCTCCTTTCTGTGGCCTGCCCTGTTACTGCCGAAGCAATCAAGGTGAAATTTGCCAATGTAACTTGTGACCATTTCAGCATCACCTCCACATCTGTACTATATTGAACTGACAATACCTGTTGTCAGGAAATGGTGTACAAGAGTCTTTAAGGAGATGTACCTTAAACTTTGTCAATATTTACACACTTTGACAGTCTTCAAACACCATGGTAAAGATCAGATGTACTACACTTAGCCTCCAGTGAACTCTATCTGTATACAATCTTATCATCAATTAAATATTGCACATTTCTCCTTCTGTATGACTGGTAGGTTTACAGTGAAGAATAGCATAATGTTTGTTGGGTTTTAGAAACATAGAAAGTAGGAACAGGAGTAGGCCATTCAGCCCTTCAAGCCTGCTCCACCATTCAACATGATCATGGTTGATCATCCGACTCAGTAACTGTTCCTGCTTTCACCCTTTGCTCTCTTTAGTCATAAGAACTACATCTAACTCCTTTTTGAAAATATTCAATGTTTTGGCCTTTCCATGGCAGAGATTTCCACAGGCTCCCCATTCCCTGGATGAAGACATTTCTCCTCATCTCAGTCCTAAATGGCCTACTCTGTATTCCTTAGACTGTGACCCCGGTTCTGGACTCCACGGTCATTGGGAATCTTCTTCCTGTGTTAACCCTGTCTGGTCCTTTTATTTCATTAGCAATATTTCCATTAAAAGGTTTATCTACATGTTTCACCATGAAGGTGGTGACGGTGAAATGCACTTATTCATGCAAACCTTTGGCGTTGCCATAGAGTTGCAGTGGTCTACAGGATGGAAACAGGCCCTTCGGCCCAAATTGCCCATGCCGCCCAGTTTTCACAATTAAACTAATCCCATTTGCCTGAATTTGGTCCATATCCCTCCATACCTATCTCATCCATGTACCTGTCTAAATGCTTCTTAAATGACAAAATTGTACTCACTTCCAACACTGCCTCTGGCAGCCCGTTCCAGGCTCTCTCCTCCCTCTGAGTGAAAAAGTTGCCCCCAGACACTTTTGTGTCTCTCCTCTCTCACCATAAACTTATTTCCTTTAGTTTTAGACTCACCTACCCTGGCAAAAAGCTGTCAGCTCGTCATTCCTGCATCATCTCCCTTACTTAAAAAGACCTACAGAATATCCCAGCACAAAAGGAATATGAGGGTCACAGCAGATTACTCTCTATGCTGGATTGTATCCAACAAACAATGTGCTTTACACGTTAGGATTAACCCTAACCCTAAACCTATTGTAGTCTCAGTTCACTACGAGGACTGTGGAACACCCAGTAAAGCAAAGAACTGCTTTCACTGGAACCTAAGAAATGAATTTAAAAAAAAAGTGATCCATTTAGTATAGCTTCTTCAATCCTGGGAGTTGCCACTGACCAGAAGTTGAACCGGACCAGCCAAATAAATACAGTGATTCATCATAACCAGGGAGAATTCAGGTGTGGAAATCACCCTGGGAAAATAGCCCTTTGACACAGTTTTTCTGGATCTGCCCCTCTGCATGATTCAGCTTTCTTTGCGTTCCTCGCTTCCTTGAAGTTGGGACAATTACAAATAACCATTTAGAGTCATCGTTGTAGTGTTATACAGTGTAGAAACACATCCTTTCAATCAATCAGTCTGTGTCAACCAAATTAAACTAGTCCCACCTGCCTGCACCTGGCCCATATCCCTCCAAACCTTTCCTTTTCACGAACTTATCCAAATGTCTTTTAAAAGTTGTAACTTACCTGCATCCATCAATTCCTCTGGAAGTTCATTCAACATACGAACCACTCTCTGTGTTAAAAAAAAGTTGCCCCTCATGTCTTTTTTAAATCTTTCTCATCTCTCCTTAAAAATCTGCCCTCTAGTTTTGAACTCCCCCCACCCTAGGGAAAAAACCCGTGTCATTCACTTTATCTATGCCCCTCATGATTTTATAAACCTCAATAATGTCACCCCCCCAACCTCCGACACTCCAGTGAAAAAAGTCCCAGTCTTTCCAGTCTATTTTTAAATCTCAAACCCTCCATTCCCAGCAACATCCTGGTAAATCTTTTCTGAACCCTCTCCAGTTTAATAATATCCTTCCTATAACAGAGTAACCAGAACTACAACAGCAAAAACAGAAATTGCTGGAAAAGCTTAGCAGGTCTGGCAGCATCTGTGAAGAAAAAAATGTTAGTGTTTCGGTTCCAGTGACGTTTCATTTGTTTTGAGGAAGGGTCACTGGACCCAAAACGTTAACTCTGCTTTTTTTCTTCACAGATGCTGCCAGACCTGCTGAGCTGGCCTAGCAACTTCTGTTTTTGTTCCTGATTTACAGCATCCACAGTTCTTTCGGCTTTTATTTAACCAGAACTACAATCAGTTCTCCAGAAGAGGCCTCACCGACATCCTGTACAATTTCAGCATGATGTCTCACCTCCTTTACGCAAAGGTCTGAGCAATGAAAGCAAGCGTGCTAAATACCTTTTAACCACCCTGTCTACCTGCGATCCAAAGATCCAAGAATTATGTACCTGGAACCCTAAGTATATCTGTTCTACAACACTACCCAGGGTCCTGGGAATAAGTCCTGCCCTTGTTTTATCAAAATGCAATACCTCACATTTATCTAAATTAAAATCCATGTGCCACTCCTCAGCCCATTGACCCAATAGATCAAGATCTGTAGTGCTGCAAAATACCGCAATCAATTTCATGCGAGTGTTGGTGAACTAAATTTGACCCTGAGGCACATAAGGGAGTATTGGGAGAGATGGCCAAAAACTGGGGTGGGAATGTAGTCTTTGTGGCGCATCTTAAAGGAGGAAAGTAAGATCAAGGGGTTTATATGGAGAGATATACTGGAGTTAGCAGCTGAAGACTTAGCCATCAATGTAGAGTTATTAAACTTGGGATTCAGAAGAGGCCACATGGAGAAGCACTGAGATTGTGGAGGATTGTAGTTCTATAGTAGTTCCCAGAGTTAAAAAGGGAGCAAGGCTGTGGGGTTAAGGACATAGCAAGTTGGAAATAACTTCAGATTGGCGCATTGGAGATGTGCAGCCATCTCTGTAAGATTGCACATGGCCTCCCAGTAAAAGTGCAGGCTGCATGCACATCCATTCCATAGCTCGACAGCTTGCTGCCAATTGGTGAAAGTTCAGTCCCATGGGAAAAGCAAAAGGAACACTTCTCTTTCATTACCCACTTCAAACATGATGCAAATATGAGGCTAAATTTATTGCCTCTCCATTGGTGAGTTGATGAGTAGTAGGGGATGGTATTTAAGCAGGCAGTGGGTTGGGAATCCACTTCCTCCCTGCCTCTGCCTCAAATAAGCCCACGGTGTGGGAGGGGGTGCACCTTCCTGCTCTACTATCATTGAGGCCCAAAAGTGGGCAATTAATGGCTACTTAAGGGTCTCATCCTCCCATTGTTAGCATTTAGCAACTTGCAGACATTGGGGTGGACACTGGGGGAGATCCCAATTGGAGGGGTGTCATGATCCATCTGGAGTTTCTCACGGGAGATTTCCTGGAGGGGATCACACATGCTCACTGACTCCTGGGATTCCTAGGCTTGCAGCCAATCAAATGGAAAAGATTAATCTGGGAAGGCACCAAGAGACTTTCGGGAACAATCGGAGACAAAGTAGAGGCATCAGAATGAACGCACGAACCTGCCAACACTTGCTCATCCTGACCACTCTACCCTTGCTGCTGACCCTCCTGCTCTACAGCACTAACTCCCTACAATACCCAGCCACCATCTCACTGGCATCCAGTGACAATACTGGGCCCTCTGGGGGCTATCATACTGGCAGCAGTCACTATTTGGGGATCTAGGAACTGGAGTAGGCCATTCAGCACCTCATGCCTGTTCCACCATACGATGAGATCATGGCTGATCCATGACCTAACTCCATATACCTCCCTTTGGCCTATGTCCCTTAATACCTTCGCTTAGCAGAAATTTTGTCTCACTCAGATTTAAAATTAACAACGGATCCAGCATCTACAGGTATTTGTGGAAGAGAGTTCCAAACCTCACCCACCCTTTGTGTGCCAAAGTTTAGCTTAACATCTCTCCTGAACAGTCTGGCCCTAATTCTCAGACAATGCCTCTAGTTCTAGAAACCCCAACCAGTGGAAATAGTTTATCTTTATCTACCCTGTCTGTTCCTGTTAATATCTTGGAAACTTCAATCAGATCACCCTTTAACCTTCTAAATTCATGAGAAAACAGGTCTAATTTCTATACTCGCTCCTCATAAATTAATCCCTGAAGTCCAGGTATCATTCTTGTAATCCTATGTTATACTCCCTCCAAGGCCAATATGTCTTTCCTAAGGTGTGGTGCCCGGATCTGCTCACAGTCTCCAACTGTTGTCTAATTAGGGTTTTGGATAACTGAAGCATTATATCTACATCCTTGTACTCCAGGCCTTTAGATATAAAGGCCAGTGTTCCATTAGCTTTCGATACAAAGTGGAGGGACAGGTAGTACTGAGGAGGTGGCGAGGCTGCAGAAGGATTTGGACAGGTTAGGAGAGTGGGCAAAGAAGTGGCAGATGGAGTACAACGTGGGAAAGTGTGAGGTCATGCAATTTGGTAAGAAGAACAAAAGCATGGACTATTTTCTAAACTGGGAGAAAATTCCGAAGTCTGAAGTGCAAAGAGACTTGGAAGTTCTAGTCCAGGATTCTCTCAAGGTAAACTTGCAGGTTGAGTCAGTAGGTAATTGCAATGTCGGCATTTATTTTGAGAGGACTTGAATATAAAAGCAGGGATGTACTACTGAAGCTTTATAAGCTGCTAGTCAGGCCACATTTGGAGTATTGCGTGCAATTTTGGGCCCCATATCTCAGGAAGGATGTACTGGCCCTGGAGCAGTTTCAGAGGAGGTTCACGAGAATGGTCCCAGGAATGGAAAGCTTAACATATGAGGAATGCTTGAGGACTCTGGGACTATACTCATTGGAGTTTAGAAGGATGAGGGGGGATCTAATTGAAACATTCAAAATACTGAATGGCCTGGACAAAGTGGATATTGAGAAGGTGCTTCCATTGGTAGGAGAGTCTAGGACTCAACGGCACAGCCTTAGAGTAAAGGGAAGACCTTTTAGAATGGAGATAAGGAGAAACAACTTCAGCCAGAGAGTGATGAATCTATGGAATTCACTGCCACAGAAGGCTGTGGAGGCCAGGTCATTGAGTACATTTAAGACTGAAATAGACAGGTTCTTAATTATCAAGGGGATCAAGGGTTACGGGGAGAAAGCAGGAGAATGTGTTTGAGGAACTTAGCAGCCATGATTGAATGGCAGAGCAGACTCGATGAGCCGAATGGCCTAATTTCTGCTCCTATGTCTTATGGTCTTGTGGTATTATTATTTCCTGCACCTGTTTGAGACATTTTAAAGAGCTATGCACCTGAACCCCAAGTCTCTTTGGGCAGCCACTTTATTTAACTTCATACCATGTAGAAAGGACCCTGAGCTATCCTTTCTTGGTCCAAAATGGATAACCTCGCACCTGTTTACATTGAACTCCATCTGCCACAGTTTTGCCCGTTCACTTAGTCTATCAATATCCTTTTATAATTTTAAGCTATCATCTACAATGTCTACAGTGCCGCCTAATTATGAGCCATCAGCAAATTTGGATATATGACTTTCTGTACCACTCTCCAAGTTGTTAATAAATGATGTGAATAATTGAGGCACAAATACAGATCCTTGGGTGACACATTGTGCCGATTTGAAAAACCTACCTATTATCCCTACTTTCTGTCACTTGTCACTCCACCAATTTCACAGCTGTGTCAGTAATATTTGGTCAAGACTGTGGGCTTCTACCTAAGTTTACGGTCTCAGTGTGGGACTTTATCACTTCCTCATGATGTAGACACTCAATCGAGCCTCTGGCCAGTCAGTATTTCTCAGCAGGCTGGACATCTGTCCCCTCCCCAATCCCCATCATGTTCACAATCCGAGGCGATACCAGTCAACATGAAAAAGTGCCTTTGGCATTGAATGTGGCAGCATAGGACTCTTACCTGTTCACGATTTGACAGATCACCTCCGACAAATATTGTCCGTGATTTCTAGAGCTTAAGTCCATCTGGCAAGTATCATTTTAAGCACTCTGTACAAATCAGTGAACAAATACAGAAACTTTCAGGTCCACATTATTATCCATTGGAAGGGAATCAATAGCTACAGCTGTACAGGATACTTTGTTACCCTGAATGCCTATCAGCTAATGCTTCCTAAGTTACAAAACCTGTTCACACAATGGAATGTGCATAATTAACATATCATCAGTATCTATCACAGGTTATTTGCAACAGAATAGATTAGGGATAAAACAAAAACAGAAATTGCTGGAGAAGCTCAGCAGTTCTAGCAGCTTGTGGAGAGAGAATCAGGGTTAACGTTTCAAGTCTGGTATGACTCTTCTAAACTGCCCATTAGTTGTGAAGAAGGGTCACAGACCTCAAATGTTAATTCTGATTCTCTCTCCACAGATACTGCCAGAATTGCTGAGTTTCTCCAGCAAATTCTGTTTCTATATGCTTCAGATCTCCAACATACGCAGTTCTTTGTTTTAATTGTTTTTGAAGTTTGTATTGCAGGAAAAAGAGGCGAACAACTTGCTCACAGCAAAACCCCAAAAACATTAATGAACTAAATGACTAAATATATTATTAGTGTTTATTGCAAGATAACGCCTTTTGGCCACAACACTAGGAGAACTATGCAACTGTGCAATAGATCTGAATCACTGAAGGCTGCAAATAAAATTGTTCCTGGATTTCCTGTTGGCTTGTTCAATGGAATTAATATATCTACTGTTCCGGGTCCATTTTGCAATGCAAAAATGCAAGGAAATCATGACCTTAATGAGTTCTGCGATTATTTACACTACTCCACTATTTCATAGAATCATAGAATCCCTACAGTGTGGAAACAGGCCCTTGAGCCCAACAAGTCCACACCGACCCTTAGCACATTCCACCCAGACTCTATCCCTATAACCCATCTAATCTACACATCCCTGAACACTATGGGCGATTTAGCCTGGCCAATCCACCTAGCCTGCACATCTTTGAACTGTGGGAGGAAACCGGAGCACCCGGAGGAAATCCATGCAGACATAGGGAGAATGTACAAACTCCACACAGACAGTTGCCCGAGGCTGATGGGCTTCTACTTGTCTCCACAGCCACTCTCTCTGGACCGATGAAAAATCTTCTTTCTCTCTTTCTCCTTTCAGGTGTCCCTCAGAATCGAGGATGACTTGCTCCGGTTCTGAAATGTCTGGTAAGTTGAAAGCATGATCTGCAAACTCTTCCTCCAAGCCACATGCCTTCCAGGCTGAGATGTAGAAATGACACTCCTTCACTATCACGAGGCCAACATTCTGGAATTGCCTTCCGAATAGCGCTGAGGATGCCCCTACACAGCAAAGATTGCAGCAGTTCAAGAAGGCAACTAATTTGGGTCGGGGCAGTGATGCCCATGTCCAGTGAATGAATAAAACAAGTGCATGTTCTGCCACCCGCAGGTGCATTGGTTCCTGGAAGGATAGGGATGAGAAGATGTTTGGAGGTTAATGCACTCAGTCTGATGCCTCAGCTTTGCTGTCGTTTGTTGCCAATGAAGTCTCTGAGTGCCTTTCCTGATAAACCTTCTGTTTGGTTGGCCACAAGCCAGGAGTTCCCATGAGTCCACAAGCAAGTGTGATCCTTTTCGGGTTTTCTTCATGGCCCTCCCTAAAGCGTTTCCCCGGGGTGCCCCTTGCTGTGACCAAGGCCCAGGTGGAATAGTATCGTCTCAGCCCACAGACCACATGACCTTCCCAATGTAGTTTCCTGCGATTAGCACCTTGATGTGCAGCAAGTCTTTTGTTCAATTCATTCATAGAATGTGGACAATTTGGTTGGGTCAACATTTATTGCCCATCCCTAATGGTCCTCTTGATCTGAGTGGTTTCCTTGGACCATTTCAGAGGGCAGTTAAGAGTCAAATACATCATTGTGGGTCTGGAGTCACGTGTAGGAAGACCAGGTAAGGATAATCAATTTCTTTCCCAAAGGGAAGGAATGAACCAGATGGTTTTGTATGACAATTGACAATGGTTACATGGTTGCTCTTTGGCTAGCACTTAATTCTAAAGTTTCTTTTTGTATTGAATTCAAATTTAATATTTCCCACGGTGTGATTTGAACCCACTTTGCTTGAGCATTAGCCTGGTGTTCTGGGTTGCTGATCCAGTGACACTACCACCTAGCTTGGGAGAGGGCCACCTTTCTTGCCACAAGATCTTGTGAAGGCACCACAGGCGGGACCTCTCCCTGCTTTGAGGTGGATGTTGGAGGTTGTCCAAGTCCCTGAAGTGGCGATCTCTGCTGCCTGGTAAACCTTAGTGTCTGGTTGGAGATCCTGGCTCTCAAATATGTATATCCGCAATCAGGGCAGGAGTGGGGTTGATGAACTTCATCATCAATGTCTGCCTCAATCGCGGAGAGGATCCCAAGGTAGAAACAGTGCTCCCAGATTTTGACTTTGGTTTTAATCAACAAAGGAAGGCACTTCAACATGGCAGCTGGGAAGAGGAGGGTTTCAGTTTACTGCTTGCTTAGTGGAAATGCTTCAGACAGGATTAGGGTGGCCTGTTGTCCTCACAGCACTTGCGGAAATTGGATTGGATTCCAACCTCAAGCATCCGTCTGTGTGGAGCTTACACGTTCTCCCTGTTTCTATGCAGATTTCCTCTGGGTGCTCTGGCTTCCTTCCACAGTCTAAAGATGTGCAGGTTCATTGGATTGGCCATGCTAAATTACCCATAGTGCCCAGGGATGGGCAGGCTAGATGGATTAGCTGTGGGAAATGCAGACTTACAGGGATGATATAGTTGGGAGTGTGTTCTGGGTGGGAAGCATTTCGGTGAGTCAGTACAGATTTGATGGGCTGAATGGCCTCTTTCTGCATGTAGGAATTCTAAGATATCAACAAGAGCTGGTGTCCAATCTCTGAGCCAGGGCATAGAGAAGTATCATAGAAGATCAATGACTGAGGGCAGAACGATTTTGATTTTGGATTGAGGGTAATATAAATTGAGCAGTTTCCCATTTGTTGCATGGATTATCTCCACAACAGTGAACAACTTGCCGGAGAAAAGCTTTCCCCTCCACCCCACACCCGTATCCTCTACCCACCCCACACCCACACCCCCAACCTATCCCACACACACACACCGCCCTGGCTCACACCACAACCCTGGCCCCAACCCATCCTATACCCCTCCCTTTGCCCACCACCCAAATCCCATCCATCACCAACCTCCCTCAAGCCCCATGCAACCCTGAATCTCCACTCATCACCCAGCACAATTCACCCACCACTTTGCAGATCCTACCGCCGTGTGACAGTAAAATAGGTAGCTGTGGAAGAAATCTATCAGGATCCTTGTGCCCAGGCCCATTTTTTATATGTGAAAAGTCTGGAAAAGGAAAAAAATGAGGCAATTATCTTGGATGTAGGAAGGGAAATCTAGCTCTGATAGTGAGATGACAATGATCCCTATAATCTTCGGCATAAAATTTGTGGAGGATGATTCAAGCCATACTATCACATTGGAGCCTACAGTGAGTTACCACCTCATGACAATTGTTTTCTGAGCAATGTGTAACATTGAATTCAAAAAATTGCGTTAAAAAGATGTCCAAATGTTGACAAATTATACAAGCAATTAATTCTATTGACAATGAGCTACAGAGTTTACATGATGTTAAATTGATACAGATGGATATGATATCATTGTAGAATAATAATTATGATTCCCATGACTGAACAACTGCACAAAACATAGAATTAGATTGGTTTGGAGGTCGCGAATGGTTACAATTTAATCAACGGTTAGATCATCATAAACCATGATTCACTTCAGAACAGAATGAAGCAATTCTTTTGCGTTGCAAAGAAAAATTATAGGGGATATCAGTGTCGGTTGGGAATTATATTGATGTTTAAAGCAAAATTATACAAGAATTAAAAGCTCAAAACCTTCTCCACATTCTCACTGATATGCGAGACTGTTGTAAGCCAGATTCATTGCTGAATTAAAGGCTATTATCATTATAAATAGGCATTGGTATCTACCTTCTAGAATTGTCCCAGAGAATTCTAGATATCAATTTGCAGTAGGAGGAATTCTGTTCCAAGTGGAGAGGGACAAAATGTTGAGGAAGTATCTATTCTCACTTGACAGCAGCAAGGCATTTACTGTCACAGAAAATCACAATCACACCATTTAATAGATCTTGAAATTACCTCCTCGTCCCACCTTTATCACATGGTAGAATTATACCTTGCACTGGTGCCGCTATTTCCCAATGAAAACATCAGAAACAGGTTGCCCTGCAGAAATTTATGGTCCTCAGACCATTAATTTGCACAAACCAGGCCTCCCCACTTCCCCCGCTACCATCCCTCAGCCCATCTCGGGAGAAAGTCCCCAACTATACATCGGCCAACAGATAAAATGCCTTGGTCTTAACAGCACCAATGCGGGCCACTACTGGAACTGCAATCAGTCCCCAAAAGATATTGTCACTAGAGCCAGACAGTGAGGGATGTGGGTATGGTTGGCACCAAAACCAACGGTGAAGCGAAGGGGCGCATTTGGGCAAGTCCATGGAGGTACAACTCAGGAAGGTGAGCTCTGATGAATTCAGGGCATCTAGAAAGAAGTGTCCATTCCCCTTGCCCACTGCCATCCTACCCAATGACTGCTGCTGGGCTTCTCACTTGGTGGCAGCCTCTACTCACCATTCAGGTGGGTCTGAGAGGACACCTCTTTTTAGTGACTATGAAATGGCTCCTAAAGGGCCTCAGCTGGTCCGAGAATGAAGGAGCTGTGAGATCCTATTATGCATAAAATTGCAACCAAGTTTGGCCACGGAATTGTGAGCACTGTTACGGCCCCATCCTGATGCCAACTCACAACGTGGTAAGCATAACATGTATCCAATGAAGCCTCTATCACAGGCAATTCAAACTCAGTAGGACGGAGCCATTCCAGATGAAGGAATTCCAGGCTTATTCTCCAGTTTCAGACAAGGTCGATGGTAATTGGTTCTGTAGAAATGAAAGAATTCCACTGAAGGAAGGCCATTTGGTCTCTGTGTCACCGAGAAAGGAGGACCAAACCAGCCGACTTGCAAGCATCAATGTC